AGCATCTACTAAACAATCAGAAATGATGCTTTCATCTCCTGGAAATTTTCCTCTGTGAAATTGAGCATAAGCATGTTTTCACATACCATTTGCTTGTGAAAGTTCTACATGTAATACAAATGCCTCAGACATAATAACAACATTATTGTTTATATTGACTCATTTTGTGGTAATATAATTAAAATATACAGCCCCACTCTTGTTTGTTATCACACAATAATCAGCATCACTGTTTTATTCACTCAACACTGAGGGCGCTGTATACCAAAATATGATGTCATAACTCCACATTAGCTACACACTCGGTGCTTGGTTATAATTACCACGATTCTGTATCTTCATCTGTTGATGTTGTCGTGTCCCCGTCTTCATCATCTTCCCCTGAAAAAGTAGAAGACAACATTTGCATTATGTAAAGTATGATTTCTAGGACATATCTACATATATCTACAAAATTATACAGATGAGTAGAACTTCTAAAGAGTATGTTTTCTCTTGCATTTAAAGATGTGATAACTTAAACTCACAATCCACCATTATTGCATTGTAACAAGGCAAAGCACATAAATGGTAGACACATCCTTTCCCTACATCTCTATACAATAATGAGTAGTGTATCATTCAGCATAGTATACAAGCAGTGATGTATCTCGATACAACAAGTCATTGAAATGACACAGTCCCCGTTAATTTTTTTAAAGTTCTCTTTGTGCTCGTCATATTAAAGTGGAGGGGTTGTCGCGAGTGTGTCCTTGAAACTTGAGTCCTAAGTGGCGTATACAACAGATTGTTTTCTTTACATCAAATTCGAACATGTGTTGTATGACGACCCTTCCGATTTAAGACATAGCAAAGATCATTTATAAAGTATGTGCCAAATTTGAATAAAAAATGAAAAAGCATGTCCAAGATACCACATTTAAAAAACAAAACAAGATGCCTGCCAGTCGGCCATCTTTGATCCAATTGCGAAAGAAATTGTCATGGACATGTATCCTAACATGTATAATCTATATACCAAGTTTGAATGAAAACTGACAAAGCATGTCCAAAATACAACATTTTTAAAAAACAAGATGGCTGCCAGTCAGCCATTTTGAATGAAATCGCTGAAAAACTGCATGTGCATATGTCCCACATAAAGTACTAGGCACATGCAAAGAATGAATGGAATCAGCCCAAAGGATTCTGAAATATGACTCCGGACGCACGGACGGAGACCGAAATATAAGTCCCCGTTTTCAGTCTTCCACCGAACGGAGACTAATAATGAGTAGTGTATCATTCAGCATAGTATACAAGCAGTGATGCATCTCTATACAATAATGAGTAGTGTATCAGTCAGCAAAGTATAGCAAGCAGTGATGTATCTCTATACAATAATGAGTAGTGTATCATTCAGCATAGTATACAAGCAGTGATGTATCTCTATACAATAATGAGTAGTGTATCATCCAGCATAGTATACAAGCAGTGATGTATCTCTATACAATAATGAGTAGTGTATCAGTCAGCAAAGTATACAAGCAGTGATGTATCTCTATACAATAATGAGTAGTGTATCAGTCAGCAAAGTATACAAGCAGTGATGTATCTCTATACAATAATGAGTAGTGTATCATTCAGCATAGTATACAAGCAGTGATGTATCTCTATACAATGATGAGTAGTGTATCATTCAGCATAGTATACAAGCAGTGATGTATCTCTATACAATAATGAGTAGTGTATCATTCAGCATAGTGTACACGCAGTGATGTATCTCTATACAATAATGAGTAGTGTATCAGTCAGCAAAGTATACAAGCAGTGATGTATCTCTATACAATAATGAGTAGTGTGTCATAATCCAGCATAGTATACAAGCAGTGATGTATCTTTATACAATAATGAGTAGTGTATCATCCAACATGGTATACAAGCAGTGATGTATTTCTATACAACAATGTGTAGTGTGTCATCATCCAACATAGTATACAAGCAGTGATGTATCTCTATACAACAATGTGTAGTGTGTCATCATCCAACATAGTATACAAGCAGTGATGTATCTCTATACAACAATGAGTAGTGTGTCATCATCCAACATAGTATACAAGCAGTGATGTATCTCTATACAACAATGAGTAGTGTGTCATCATCCAACATAGTATACAAGCAGTGATGTATCTCTATACAACAATGTGTAGTGTCATCATCCAACATGGTATACAAGCAGTGATGTATCTCTATACAACAATGTGTAGTGTCATCATCCAACATAGTATATAAGCAGTGATGTATCTCTATACAACAATGTTTTAAAACTAGCGCCGAAGGCGCATATTAGTTTTTATGTTTATATAAGAGATTG